CGAACACCTATCTCGTGGGCGTAAAAAGTCTGCTGACCTTGAACTTTACCGCGGCGTACAAAGTCTGCCCGTGCGAACGCACGCTAACTGTTAATATAAAATCTATAAAGCAATGAAACATAAGTGAATTTATCTGCACATGTTTTTTTACTATAAAAAAAATTCTTATGGCGATTTTCCTTAAGCCTCAGCGTATAATTCAGAATTTCTATAAATTATAGACAATTTCCTCGTGTTCCAGGTTACCTGATCTCGTGCGCAAGCAGCAGCGTCAGCATGGCGGCGTCAGTGGGGCCGCCCATCATCATACCCTTCATGCTATTCGGTGGATTTTTCCTCAACTCAGGGTAAGATGATAATAAAACACTCGCTCATGGTCCATAGCTTGTCATCCGTAGCTATGTCAGCTCTGTATAGATAGCTCCATAGTTATTATTATCATTTGACGAGGTCCTGGAACACCTTCTACTTTATTTACTGGAAAAAATGATGCATAATGTTAAAGAATGGCTGCCAATTAACCGCAGATTGTAGTAGCTACAAATGATACCGGTCTTTTGCCTTTCTTGTTAATAATAAAGACGGATTGTTATAATCTCGCTAATTTTGTGCTTGCAGTTCGGTCCCGCCGTACCTGGGCTGGATCTCGTACCTGTCGTGGTTCCGGTACGGCAACGAGGCGCTGCTGGTCAACCAGTGGTCCGGCATCGAGGCCATCGACTGCACGCGCGAGAACTTCACCTGCCCCGCCTCCGGACAGGTCGTGCTGCAGACGCTCAGCTTCTCCGAGGTAAGACACTTGTTTTATAAGAGTAAAAGACCGACCCAAAAATTCATTCGTAAGACCGATCCGACAAGCACTTTAATTCCTTTAGAATCTACAAAAATAATAGACCAGAACTGTATTATAGTTCATTGTTCCTAATTGATTTGTTATTAAATTAAGATTGCACACATTAAGAAAACACACAAAAAGGCTTTTTAGTGAAATTAGAATGGATCTAGAATATAGGGGGAATACCGAGGTGCTTATTGACGCCTAGACTTTTTCACTACTATCTCATATTTGTTGCTTTCTAAATATAACATAAGTTACTTCTTCTAGTACTTATAAATAACTATAGAAATGCACAGATACCTAAACTTTTTCGACCTTACATTTTTACTGATTTGCTAACTAGTCTTTCGTGAACACCAGAGATAGACACAGAGGGTGTCATAGACGTAAGAATTTAGACATGAAATAATTTGTGTTATTAGCTGTGAGCTTTTATTTAAATTTTAACGTTTAAAATTTATAATTAACAAAATAAGTACGCCCTAAAGTTTTGACCCAAACATGTTAAGGGAAGGGCGGCATAGAACCTCCCATATAAAACTATATACTTACATGTTGTATGTATGTCAATACAGAAGGACTTCACAATGGACGTGGTGAACATGGTGCTGTTGTTCATCGGGTTCCGTCTGCTGGCGTACATCGCGCTGCTGTTCCGCACGCGCCGCGGGAAGTAACCTATACCATTGTAACCGTACAACTCCACTGCTGTAACTGCAAAACCTCTCTATTCCTTACATTTTCTCCATGAAATCAATTGAAGTAAATAAGTATTGTACAGGTGTTTAAGTAATGCAAACAGACATAATTCTACTGATAATATAATTATGTAATTGTTACAAAATTTGTCTGCTGAGGAGCTCGGAGCTTGTCTTAAATTAGTGCCTAGGCCATAGTCAATTACATATCTTTGAATTACTTCGCAAGCGCTCTTCAATGTCCAACCAAGGCCCAACTTTAACCCCTTTTCCTTCCCACACTTTTATACGAAAAATGTGAGACGCATAGGAAGGGGAAATATGCTCTCTGTATGCGTCTCCTCCTCCGCCAATTAAGGGTAGGCAACGCATCCGCTATTGCGGATGTCTATGGGCAGCAGTCGCTTCGCTATTCAAGTGGCCGCTTGCTCGTTTGCTATCTTATGATATAAGAAAAAATCAATGTAACTGCTTATTATAATTTCGTTTCAGTACATTTTTTGGAATAAATATGTTGTGTCTTATCAATTTGTAATATAAAAAATTTTCTCCTAACGTATGTTCTAACATAAATGTGCCTTAAAGTTTACTAAACAAATATATTCATGTTACTTTCGTTTATTGCTTTTAAACGATAAATATAAGAACAAAAATTGTACTGCACTAAACATAAAAGTGAATCCTTGATTTTAAAGAAATAAAAATAAATTATTGTAATTTTCTTATTTCTTAAAAAAAAGCGTTTTAACACTTATGCATAAAACATTTGTAATTCCAGCAGAAACACTTAGTTTACACTATTTCAGCGATCGAATCTAGAGTGTACAACTGGAACGTACGAAGAGTTCTAGTGCGGGTTTGCATTTTACCAGTTGTAGGCCAGCGCTGGCATCTGTCGCTGGACTGGAATAAACCTGGGTGTTATACGTTCACTTGTTTTTTGTACTTTACTGTTTATATTATTATATAAGAAGGCTTTACTTTATTATTTTTAATAAGGAATATAAAATCTTGTGCATGTATTTCTTGTTTCAATATGTACAACAGTGGTTGAATTTAAAAACCCATATTTTCATGTATGAAACAATTTTTAGGTAATATGAATATAGAATTATATTACTAAAAATGTTGTGTACCTGAGAAAAGGCTGGTTTCCTTTTGGGTTGCGAGGGTCCGCTGGCAGTCGCTTCGTGTCAAAACCACTGCCTTAGCCAAAACTTTTATATTGCTTAGATTTGTTTGTTGCTTTAAAAATTTGGCTTGCTTTTACATACTCTTCTTATTTTTTAAAAAATGTGTTTTTGATTTTAAAAACCACAAGAAGTTGTCAATTCTCGTTTTCAATGAAATTTAACAATTCTCTACAATGGTTTATTTTAATATTTTAATTATAATTTATGCGTTATTATTTTTAAATAGAAGAATATTAAATTGTTATTGAATTGATAAATAGTTTTTTTTTTATTTTACTCGTCAATAAACAAATGTAAAAGACAATTTTTACTTTAATGTACTTTTACAGTAATATACTATAGCAATTTCCTTTGTCTTTTTATTTCTTAATAAACATATCTCCTAATATTTTTATTACTGCTAATATTTGGTTAGATGGATTGATTACATTGGATGGGTTAGATTTCCAAACCAATACGACTTAGGGTCCTTCAAGAAGCGAGCCTACAATTTCCTCAAAGGCCGGCAACGCATCTGTATTCCTCTGGTGTTGCAGATGTCCATGGGCGTCGTTGACCACCTTTGTGTTCCCGCCGCTCGTTTGCCCCTTTCTCATATAAAAAAAGATGGATGAATAACTAAACGAATTCAGATTAAGTTAAAAATAGAGGCATTATGTGTAACCTGTAGAGGTAGACCTAGAAAGAGATGGATGGATTGAGTTAAAGGTGACATGCTGAAGAAAGGAGTGATGACTGAGAAGACGTATGATAGTTATTTGGAGCACGAAAACTCGGTGCTCGACCCTACGGGAGTAGGATAAAATCGGGGAGATGATAATGATCTACAACTCTGAAATAACGTACTACTATTCAGATTGTTTAAAGTATTTTATTGCAATGTTTTAGAAATTGAGAAGTAAAAGGTTCGCGTGGTTTGGACATTGTAGGCGAGACGATGGGAACATAAACCAGAAAGTGTTAAGAATGAATGCTGCTACAAAGGAAGTGGAAGACCGTAGAAAGTATGGATGGATTGTGTGAAAGAGGATATACTTGAGAAAGGAATGGGTTCAAATGTGACGGCTGATAGAGATGTATGGAAGAGCAGCACATACTGTGCCGACTCTCCATAAGGTATAAGGGCAAGTTGATGATGATTCAGAATATTTAACTTCCGCGTAGACAAAGCCGAATGTTACGTAAATAGTATAGTATAATTGCAGAAACATGACTGGAAAGTTCCCGATTTTATGAAAAAAATACACCAATAAGCTAAACTTTGAGTGGTTTGTTGAGAACCCAGGGTTTTTTATAATATTTTCGCTATTCGCGGCGATCGAACATTCTAGAAACAGCTCGATTATTCTTCGAATATGATTTTCGCCACTCATCAATAGATGACGTCGCGACAATATCAGCGAGGAAATAAGGAAGATAATTTTTAATGAAACCGGAAAAGAGTAAGAAAGCAGAACTAGAATATCCTTCGGGTGGTGGTCCTGCGCCCATCCATGCACCAAGTTATTGTATTCGTTTTTCAGATAGAATGAGAGATACCTAACGTACTCGTATATTTTAAAATGAAAATTAACTGGCAGAATAACAAACGTAGAACTAGTGGTATGGTAGAACTTGTGTAGAACAACAGACTATCGAATTGCATTATGATTTAACCTTATATATGATTTGACTTGTAATTAAAAAAAACAATGATTAAGCTTCTTCTGTTAAAAAAAATACGCCATATTCGATGTGAGTTTTTATTAACTAAATATATGCTCAGTTCAAAATTTTAATAAGTAGTGTTCATATATAACATGCCGCTTACTGATAATCGTAGGAACCACAAACTATACCCACCTTATAGACTAATAAATATCTTCAAAATACGTCTTTGGAATATAAAATTAACCAAATTTAAATATTTATCTTCAGACATAAATTGTAACACTAACTAAAGTTCTGATATTTTAAATATCAACTTACTACGTCAATCATTAAAATAAAATTAATGTTAGTTTTATTAACGTTAACATATAACTAGCTGTTGCTCGCGACTTCGTACACGTGAAATATCAAACTGTAAAGAAAATATAGCCTTTCAGCGATAACGTAGCTTTTTTATAAGTGGGCAAATGAGTGGCGGGAAGTCTGGAGACTTTAATAGTTAAAGAATTTTCTAAATCGGCCCAGTAATTTTTGAGTTATATTAATACATACAAAAATACAAATCTTTCCTCTTTATAATATTAACATCTGATGTCTTTCAATCTTTCTAATATAGACAGTTTTTTAGCTTTAATTATAAATAGATATGATAATTAGAGTAAACTAGCTACCTACGTCATTCACTAAAGATCTAACAGCCGAGTTTTACAACGAATTTCATACACTTTGCTTATTTGCCGCTTACATTCTGCCAGGCGTCAGTTTTAATGAAACTGAACGGCCTAATTATATTTTAGAGTTGTCGTTTCAATATTTGGTCACCTTTTGGTAACCTCTAAGGTTTACCTAGTTATTATTACGTAAGAGGAAAAAGTTCAATAGATTCGGATATCCTTGTTCATCGTTAACTTTTAAGATGTGTCAAAACCTGGTTTGCACCGTCGGTTTTCAAAAATAAATTTCAATTATGAAATTGTTTATGATTTTACGTTGACGTTAACATTTTTGAATTTTCATCATACTTCATACTTAATATTATAAATGCGAAAGTTTAGATCGATGGATGGATAGAAGGATGGATGGATGCATGTTTGTTAGAGTATGTAGCCTAAACGGCTGAACGGATTTCGATGAAATTTGGTATAGATGTAGAGGATAGTCTGGAAGAACACATAGGCTACTCACTTTTGTTTTTTTTTAACTCCAGGCGGACGGAGTCGCGGGTGAAAGCTAGTAGTTCATATTTGTTCATAATTATCACGAAATGGACACACTTTTTTCCCCCGACTGTTATAACGGTAAAACAAAATACGTTGACAAAAATTAGGGTTTCATTACCCTAATACTTTGAGGCGAGACACGTGATATTCAACACGGATAGGTCACCAAACACTAATAAGATTATACGCTAGGGATTTTGAGGGATCGATTTTAAAATAGTTAAAGGTGTCTTAGTACAATTGGTACGTGATTTATGTTCATGCATTAAATTACTCGTATACCTACTGGTAACTGTTACTGCTGGTAGATATAGAGATTAACTAATAGACTAGTTGTTCCCTTGCGGCTTCATCCGCATATATTTGTGAAAAATTTATTTTATTGTTTACATGTGTCAATTTATCAATAGCAAATGTCAGAATGACTTGACATGACAAACCTTGACAGTCTTGCTTCCTTAATGTTGGCAGCAACTTATGGTCTCTTTCCCACATTAGGCTTTTTATCCAAAATATTTACCCCTAAGTCTAATGACATGAAAATATATAGCCTAAAGCGTGAAGTAAGTGTAGGGCTTTTTATTAAAAAAAAAAGAGTTATTCGAAAATATGCTGTGATTGCTGTGATCTTAGGCAACAAAGAAGTGTGTGTTTACGCTTTATTATAATAGTATAGATAATATAATAATATAATATAGATAGATATAGATATAGATAGATATATTTACTAATCTCACTTGTTACAAATATTATAAATGCAAATGTTTAGATGGATCGATGTTACAAGATATCTCCAGTATGATCTCGATAAAATATGGCATAGATAGACCATAGAACTTAGTCTGGAATAGAACGTCGGCTATTTATTAAGTTTTTAATTCCGATGAAGTCGCGCGCAAATGTTAGTTAACTGTATTCAGAGGACATTTGAGGATATTGTACTTTTATAGATTGTTATTTCTCATGTGTGAATTTATTTAAGTAAGTGCTTAAAGTTAATGTAAAAAAAGAAATCAATCAATCAACAATTTTGCATACCAATAATTTTCAATACAGATTTGATATTCTATTACAAAAAATAATGTTATGTTAATCGACAGATTACAATCAGTTCCTTTTAATACTTTATTTAAAAGCTTTTACGAGATGAGGAAATCAATTGAATATAAAACAGATGAGTTCAAGGTTTTCTAAAAAAATAATCTTCGATTCAGAATGCAAATGCATTAAGATAAGAGTTTACGGTAATCTATTGCACCAAATGGATGCATTGTAAAATATATCACAAGGATGTCACTAATTTCCGCATACTTTACCTTAGCATTTGACTTAATATTAGTATATCTTACTAATCTTACTAATATTATAAATGCAAAAGTTTAGAAAGATGGATGTTTGATTGAGTTTGTAGCCTAAACGGCTGAAGTGATCTTGATGAAATTTGGCATATATGTAGACGATAGTCTGGAAGAACACATAGGCTACTTGCTTTTGTTTTTTTCATTCCGCGCGGACTGAGTCGCGTGCGAAAGCTAGTTAACTATATTTAACTATTAACTTAGTGGTTACCTATTGGTAAAGAATCGATTAAAACTCACAATTAAAGAGTTTAAGAAAAAAACTTTATGCACTGTAATTTACCATCCAAAACAAAGGTACAATATTTTCGCTAAAACTATACACGCCTTGAAAATTTTATTTTTAGTTTCCACGTGGATGAAGTCGTGGGAAATAGCTAGTGAATTAAAGAACGAAATACTTATCTAAGAGTATTCTATTTTAACACAAAACTGGCTTAATAAAATGGTTTTATTAATCCGGTTATCTAAAAATGTACTAAATGATTTTTTAATTCCTATGACGAACTTCTGAAGAATACAGTCTCAAGATTTAGTGACGAAATTAAAGCGTGAATGAAAAAAAAACATGACCAGTTATAATATTATAAAAATAGAACTTGTTTCAATAAATTAGGCGTTCTTTGTATAATCCATCGATTTAAGCTACAGCCTAAATGTGGATATATTAAAAAAATCTTTGTTTAGTACTTTCTTAAACAAACAAATGTTTGGGGGGCTCATAATCATTATCTTCCTCCTCTCATACCGTAGGTTCGACGCGGCAGGTTTTCATTAACCTTTTTTGTAGAATGCCTGAAACTGCGAACGCAAATATTTGGAAGAAACAAAACCATTTTTTATAAAAACATTATTGTGTAATATTACGGTTAATTACAATAGCTTTCGCTTGTGACTCCGTCCGCGTGGAATTAAAAAAAATATACGTAAGTAGCCTATGTGTTCTTCCAGACTGAGTTCTAAATCTGTGCTAAATTTCTTCCAGATCCATTCAGCTTACGCTACAAACTTTAACAAACATCCATCCATTTAAACTTTCGCATTTATAATATTAGTATGAATTATAATTTCTAGTTGCCAGAACGTTGATAAGAGATATATCCAAAGATCCGTCTAGTATCGAGTAATGTGTGGGAACCCAAGATTAGTTCGCATAGCAATTGTTTATTATTGTATTAACCTTGTGTTCTAAAGCAAATAAAATGAATTGTTTACCATCGACACTAAATAGGGCATGCATGTTTAATGTTACCTCAAACAAACACTTTCTCAAGACAATTATGTATTTACGTATAAACTGTTATGATTTATTATATGCAAGTATTGTTAACCTTATTCTGCTACTAGCTTTCGCACGCGACTCCGTTCGCGTGTAAAAAAAAGTAAGTAACCGTAATGTGTTCTTGCAGACTATCCTCTACATCTATACCAAATTTCATCAAAATCCGTTCAAGCGTTAAGGCTACAAACTCTAACAAACATCCATCCATCTGAACTTTCGCATTTATAATATTACTAGCTTTCGCCCGCGACTCCGTCCGCGTGGAATTAAAAAATTAAAAGTGAGTAGCCTATGTGTTCTTCTAGATTGTCCTCTACATTTATGCCGAATTTCATCGAAATCCGTTAAGCCGTTTAGGCTACAAACTCTAACAAACATCCATCCATCTAAACTTTCGTATTTATAATATTAGTACGAGTACAAAGTATGATAAACACATAATTATCATTTTTTATTAATTTATTATTGGACCCCTTTTTCTTTGTGTCTACCATAACAAAATGCCACCTTATGATATAAAAAATATGCTTAGATATCATATAATCTTACTAATATCATAAATGCAAAAGTTTAGATGGATGGATGGATGTTTGTTAGAGTTTGTAGCCTAAACTGCTGAACGGATCACGTTAAAATTTGGGATTGATGTAGACGGTGGTCTGAAAGAACATATAGGCTACTTACTTTTGTTTTTCTTAATTCCACGCGGACTGAGTCACGGGCGAAAATTAGTTAATAAATATATTAATTACTTGACAAATAAGAAAAGCCATTTTTGTAACCGCAAAAGTTTTTTTTTGTAATGAATATCATAAAAAATAACTTTTGCGGTTAAGAATATTTTTTATTCAAATAATGTGTTGTTAGTTTATTTTATAGTTAAGATAATAATCTAAACTATGGTATGTTTTATAAAAAACTTATCTTAAGCAAATATACATAAAAAAACGTATTAATCATATTTTAATGAAAAAGTTACTAATATTGTTTTTATTGAATCATTTATTAATATTTATTGATTTATTAATTATACGAGTGAAAATCATATTTCACCAACATGGACTTTTTATCAGGCGCTACAAGATTTTATTTTATAGTCTAATACATCTGGATTGATGAGGTGAAGGGTGTCGTAACTAATAACTTAGGATTTCCATTTTTTTAAATCTAGTTTAACACGGTTTTATTGAAATGAAAAAATTACACCGACTATAAAACAATTTACATGTCAATTTATAATCTACGAGCTGTTGCCCGCGACTTCGTACGCGTGTTATTAGAAAACATACAAACTATAAAAATTACAAAAAGCTACGTATACCTCGGGAACCGGACATATCTTGGGGATGAAGCTTATCCCATGTGTACTCCAGACTTTGTTTTTTGTCTGTGCCAAATTTCAATAAGATATGTTGAACCGTTGCAGAATGATCGAGTAAACATTAAAAAACTAAATGAAATGAATCAATTTTACAAATTCTTCCTCCAATAAAAAGCTATGTATGTAATGAATTTTTAACTATTTTTTTTTGCATTTCACGCGGGCGAAGTCGCGAGCAACAGCTAATTATAATGAAAACCAGCTCACTGCAGACAGCTTGATTTATCTTTACAATTCAGAAAAAAATATTTTCTTTTACAAAACACGATTAAATCTAGAAACTAGTTGATCGACCAGTTGACATTAGAAATTTTTTACCATAAGCAAATTGTAAATTTAAACATGACACATTTCAGTGTTGGTTTAATACTAAGGAGCACGTTTAAACTGTCTTATCTGTACAAAAATTCTTTACGCAACAACTAAATAAGGATGGAAATACAAGAACGACCCAGTCTCACTATCATTCTGAGGCGGGACGTAATAATTAGACGTAATATTCCCGAACAGACATTTATACAAGAATTACACGCTTATAACATGATATATTTTTTCCTACAAAAGCGATGAAATAACGCAAAGTTTTCAACAATAATGCATTATTTAGTGATGGATAAATTCCTAAAGAAAAAAGTTTTATTATACTCAACAAATATACTGACGTCCCGAACGAGGAGGTTATAAATGGTAAGTGACATGTCTATCTCGGACCTACTTCTAATCCAAATTGAACCAGAAGAATTAATATTTTACCAATACTGAACACTAAAAAGGAAATAAAAGTAGACAACTTAGTCAGTTCTATTTCAAAAAATATATTCATGACCTTGTAATTTTGAAATTCGTCAGCATATAAATACGATTCAGCATATATCTAAGATTATTCCTTTTGCTAATGTCTCTTAGACTAGTCAAAAGTATGCAAAAATCATGGCATTTTATATCACCTAGTATTTTACAAGATGGGCTTTACGCCGTCTTATGGCTTTGGTATGTAATAAAATAAACGAAAACCCTATTAACATCACATTAAAATTATGTTATCCGTTCTGTTCACTTTTCATAACATAAACATTTACTAAACTCCCTTAGTTGAAATGTCGAGACGCAAATGTATCGTTACCTTTAATTTCAGTCTTCATTTTCAAAGGGATCTTTATCGGTCGTCTCTTTCTAAAACAATCGCCATCTTTGTCTGTCCCACGTTCATTCATTTGCCAGCGTAGGCCTTAGCGATAGTGAACATAGACTGGGGACAAGCTGCGCTGCGCTCGCGGTAAAATGTTGCGTGCTGATTGACAATTTTTGAACGAACGATATTTTTTTGATTATTTTTTTTAATCCAAATTTTGACAAAAATGAGCGATTCTGCCAAAAGTGATCAGGATGTGGAGAAAAAAGATCCGAGTATACCTTCGTCCCTCAATATTTCAAATGCGAATTCATTCACGGAAGATCAACCAGTAAGTAAATGTGTTTTTTTTTAACAGTAAAATGTAACTATAATAATTTGAATTGACTCACACTTAAAGTTGCATAATATTGTGTAATTTAAAACTCAGTTACTTTTAATCTTGTCGGTTTATAATTAGCCCATTAAAATAAATTTCACATTACATATTGATAACTCCGTTTCTAACGTAAAAAACCTTTTAGTGGTTAATTTGTCACCTTGTAAGTTGTCAGTATGATAAATTATTTTTAACACAATGCGTCAAAATATTAATATAGCTTTAGAAATATGCTTGTCTGTTGAAGTTTTAGAAAAAGTTAGCTTAAAAAGGCGCATTAATTTTGGCTAACGACTTTAATAATTATTTCAATATTTTGAAGTCATAAAATTATATTAATTGGAATACCAAGAATTTTAATATTCATCTTTTATTTAATAATGTAATAATAATTAATTTTCATTAACCGATTAAGTAAATGGTGTCCACTTTTGCGATATAAATTTAATTAATTCCAATAGGTACGTTGACTTTTTATTTTAAATATGCATTGAACTTTTATTAATAAATATTTGATATCGATTTTTTTTGAAAGAACAAATAACTCAACACATCAAGTAGTCGAAACAAGAAACCGTAATTGGTTGTTGAGTTATAAATAGCAAATTGAATAAAATATGGAAATAGGCATCAAACTTTTTTTCTTCTTTTTTTATTATAATTTGTCGAGTTAACATTTTTTACATACACAATTATCATATAAGCTCCACAGCGCTTTATCTATCTTTGATTTTAAAAATACTTAGTAGCATGGTCATTCTAATAAAGAAATACGGTAAAAACGTAAAATAATGCGATTAATGCCTCTTTTTTATGCAACTTGCACTAAAATGTTTAGCATTTACTAAACTCAAGACCGGACAGTATCTGTCAGTTAGACGGACTTTAATGTATCGAGATCTCAGCGCTGTTCGTGAAAAGAACATTTGTTCACTAATTTAATTAGAACGGGAACTAAAAAACGAGGATAAGAAAAATCCTAAATACTTATAATAAACTAACTTTTGCCTGCGACTCCGTCCGTTCGGAATCTTTCTTTATAGTAATATTATAAAGGGGGAAAGAAATTCCAAGATATGTGTGAAGTCGACCAACACGCATTAGGCCAGCATGGTTGACTATAGCCTTATCGCCCTTACTTAGGGTAGGCTCCGAGCCCCTCGGTGTGGACGTATAGTGAGCTGATGATGATGATGAAGTAGCAACAGCTAGTTAAAAATAAACTATGTTCCATATCTGTCATTTTACGGGAACCGTTGATCTGTTCTAGATATACCTAGTAAAGAACGTGCATCAATCCATTTAGACTTTTGCATTTATAACATTAGTAAAATTATTCATTTTATCAAGGCTAAGAATATCAATATTTAGCATAATAAAGTGCTATTTTTCCATTGCCTAAATTATAATTACCTTTTAATAAATATTCATTGGCATCCTTTTCTTTAGTCGATCGTTATGTCGATCGTCGCAATCTATCGGTCGATCCTTCCTTAGGTCATTGGCTTAATTGGTTTTATAAAATGGTATATTTAAATCGTCTATAAACTGATGGTTAGAGAATGGATTAGTGTCTTAAAACCTTCAGGTGCTAGGATATATTCTGTTGTTTTTATGGAAAATCTATAGCATTATAATAAAGCGTAAACACACACTACTTTGTTGCCTAAGATGTCAGCAATCACAGCATATTTTCGAATAACTCTTTTTTCAATAAAATGCCCTACACTTAGGTCACGCTTTAGGCTATATAATTTTACGCCGTTAAACTAAGGGGTAAATATTTTGGATAAATGCCCTAATATGGGAAAGAGACTATAAGTTGTTGCCAACATCAAGGAAGCAAGGTTTGACATCATGTCATGTCATTTTGACATTTGCAATTGATAATTTGACAAATGTGAACAATAAAATGAAATTTTTATAATTTTATGCAGATGAAGTCGCATGGGAACAGCTAGTTCTTATATAGTTAAAAAAAATATTCGCTTACCCTAGTTACTGTTATTAAGCCTTCGAGTAACAAACTATTTTTATAATTCAACGCTAAAAAATTCGTGGGCCAATTTAAATATGAGAAAAAAATTGGGTTACATTTCTTTTTAAAAGTTGTTTCATAGTGATATGGAATCTTTAGATTTTATTATCGATGAAAATTTTGTGGCTTTTATATTAGTTTCGAGTTAGTATCGTATTCCCGAGTATCGTAAACCGCACGCGAATATTATACGAGTACCTACATTTATAGAATATTATACGACAACCCGTATCGAGTGTCAAGTTACAGTTTATTTTTAATTTTCTTAATTATGCTTCAATGTTAAGTATTTTTAAATAATTATTAACTTCTAAATATAGTATAATGAATATTAATAACCAAAAATGTGATATTGTAACGATATAAAAATTTATTGGTGTGAGAATTTTAATATTGTTTCCCACAATTTTATACTAGCACTATTGTCTATTAGCTCTGTAATATGTAAGCACCCATTTCATTAGTTCACAAAGTTATTTAAAAAATAATGTAAATGTATCCAGAGAAATAGATTTTTGGAAAATGTCCAAAACCAGTTTTGTTTTTAACCTTTGGAGTAAATCAGGGGTGACCAACTCGATTAGAACATTACTTCCAATTGCATTTTGACCGCATATATCTTTACCTGCATGAATGATTTTTGAGTAAGGTATGAGTTAGTTGGGATTAATTAAGTACAACATTACAAACAAGAATTAAGGACAATGAAGTACGTTTATTTTCTATCCATTTCGGTTAAACATCCTTTAACAAACATGATGCAATTGAGTTTGTAAGTCATTTACAAATTGCTAATTTGCTTTCTCCACGATTGATTTGTGCTTTATGATATTCGATTTTAAGTTGGAAGCGAATTTAATTCCTTGATTTACGCAATTTTTTTCTATACATGGTTGCCTTACCGAATAACTCGACCGACAGGTTGGTCACCCCTGATTTAGTTATCTTCCACTCTCGTATAAGTGGCAGCATAAATTTATTTCTCCGGTGCTATCGTAATGTTGCCGACGGTTTCGTAGACACACTGTTATAACGTCGTCAAATCTACACTAGATATACATAAATGGTCAATTCTATCTATTTCTTGGTCTTACTAATATTATAAATGCAAAAGTTTGTTTTCAATTTTGAAGCCTTAAGCGCTGAACGGATCTCGATGAAAAGATGTAGCGGATAATCTGAAACAACACATAGGATTTGATTTTGATCCTGGGAATAGTTTTAGTTCCCATGGGATATACTAATTTTGTTTTCTCATGGTTACTTGATAATACTACAACGGTTCAACATATCATAATGAAATTTGGCACAGATATAAAACAAAGTCTGTATTAAATGGGATACGGTTCCTCCTCGAGAAATATGAGGTTCCTGAGGGATAAGATTTTTTTCATAATTATTTTTACATTGCGCGATGTTGCGATGAACCGCTAGTAATTAAAATTGTGAGACCGAATGATTCGTCGTTGCTGTGACTGTTTTACATTATTAAACATCTATAGTCTACACGCGACATATTATATCGAAACGGAATTAAATAAAACTTAAATCATTACATACTCGTATTTAAATTATATAGAATAAATTATTTGGTGTTAGCCAGCTTGTTTTAATTAAGCAAACATATGTTTTTTCAATAAAATATTAATTAAATTGAAATAGATTTTGATCATCGCATTTAGGTTTTAATTTTTAAAAAGGTAATAAAAAAAAGACATAAAAATTTAAGACAACAATTCAACCTTTGAGTTTTAAAAAATCAGTCTCTGGACATGCAATTTTACCAGCCCAAGGCATTCTTAAATTGGGGAACAATTATGTCTGCAGATAGCTGCTCTGTATTCCTCAGATTTTTGATCTGGGCTGTCTGATGTATTAATTCTCAGACATCAAAAAATTACTTAATATTGATAAGCCGTGACTTTTCTCTTACCAAAAAAAAACAAAACGCTATTGAATAATTTTATGCTATTCAATATCTACATTAAATTTTTGATTTTTTTAATCAAAGGAATTGAAATAGTCCTCATACGTGTATATTTTAATTCTGATTTATGTATCTTAACGTTAATTAGCCTAATCTATCTTAATAAGTCAAAAGATTTACAAATATACTGCAATGTTTTTTTTTGCTTTTGGTACAACAGGATTCCTTTTTGAATTACAGATTTTACTACCAATTGTAATAGTTGAAATCAATATGAAGTTTTTCAATATGAGATTACATTTTTTTAAATTCAAAAATATGTTGCATGTTTACAAAATGCGTTTTTCTGTTGTTTTGTTGTCCTTTTAAGGAACAAAGAATTGGATTCTTGTTGTTATATCTTTGATATTTTACGCTGCAATAATTATTAATTTTAATGTTCGTGTTTTGTTTTTATTATTTATTATACTACTTTAAATAAACGTTTAATGAACAAAATATCTTGTTTGTTGTTTTGGACTTTTATGTTTTGTTTACGAGTACTAAAGTAAATTAATGTAAGGTTATCCTTTAAGGTAGTAAAGTTTTTAAATTTGTTTGTGATCATTTAAATTGATTATTGGCACTTCCGTAGGGATTTTAAATAATCTGCATAACCTTTAGTGTTAAATATAAACGTAAAAGTTGTCCCTTTATCATTTACTAACTTTTGCTCGCGACTGTTCTCGCGGAGTTAAAAAAAATAATAAGAAATATAAAATGATATTTCATGATACGATATAAATCTTTCCTCTTTATTATATTAAGATAGTTATTTTATTTTTATACGGATAAATGTTTAGCCTACGTAAGAACCTGGGCCCTATTTAATCCTTAAATGCATGATTTTTTTTAATACCCTAAATTGAAACGGGTAGTAAATTGAACATAGATCAAGGGAAAAAAAAGTTTTTTTTTAATAGCCTATTGGGTATGGAAGAGAAGACTGATGTACAAAAGCATCATGCATTTAAGGGTTACATTATATTATTTATTTTAATAGTAAACCTTTTTGTACAGCAAACAAGTAAAGAAAACGCATTTATTGTTGCTTTTGCGGAACTCAATTTAGTTACATAACCAAAAAAACCGGATGTTTTCGCATAACTGAAGTTTCGCGAATATCTTTAAACGGTTTAAAATGGTATTAAGTGTCTGTAATGAAATATATTAACAACAATATTACGCTCCTTGTAAACAAGTCTTATTTAACGTGCAAGGTCTTGTCTTTTCTGTAAACTTTCTCTGCCGACCCTTACTTTCATTTCATGATATTCAGTAGCAACGTGGACAGTTTAAAACATACGGAAAGTCTCCAACTTGCATAGTCTATGGTCCGCGTTCGTCTTATTTGAATATTCGTTGCAAAGTAGTGGATCAAGTAGCCGGCGTCAGTGTTATCCAATATGTGAGCATATAAAAGTGAATAAAATACACTAAGAGCGAGCGCATACAATAATTCACTATCGCACAAATGTGCGATTGTCGATTGTTTCGCAGCCCATTCAATTGTTTAGTTGCACAATATAAAATTGAGTAGTGTGTGCACCTCCTTATAAGGTCATAGGAATCAAAGCGCGACGAGGAAACTCTTGTGCGATGTTTTAATCAAAGGTGTACGTGCGCTCTTATACTGAATCAGGTGGAGTGATAAAACACTAGTTGAATATGTCCAATGTTTCCAACTATAGTTACGTCTGGGTAAGATTAAATTTAAATAGTAAATGAGTGTATCAGACGTTTTTATGTTTAGATTTTCATATCGATAACGGAAGTGATGCGAAAACTCGGAGATGCATTTAGTATTAGTTGATTCGTTTTTTAGATTACATTATTTAATCAGATTTAATCTGCTTTATTTACATTTAATTTAGTTGAGTGTTTTATAATCTTGAAAGTGTATTTTCCACTAACTCTCACAAGGCGATTTATTATTAATCGATTTAATTATAAATTATTACCCGATTGATAGAAAATTTCCGCTGGTATTTTCATTTTTGCCTTTTTTGCCATTTTTGCATTTTTGACTTTGCATTTTTGAGTACTGTTGCTAAGAAACCTAATTTTTAGATTACAAAAAACCTTAGTAAGCATATTTATCCTAAAGATATCAAATTCATACATTGTGAAATATACCTTTAAAGCGTTACCATTAGGCGGAAACATTATTGTTTGATTTTCTTGTCTTGTTCTTTAGGAGCCAGTGGAGACTGTAGAGATCGGGAGCAGGTTCACACCTCCGAAAAGTAGAAGGTCACCCTTCCAGGAGGTGGAGGAGTTGCTGGGGTCCACGCAGCCGCAACGGCCCTGCACGCTCGTGTGGCGGGACCTCTCCGTACACGTGAAATTAAAAGACGGCAAATTGAAAAGACTTGTTAATAATGGTAAGCCATGAATAGTTTAACGATTCTATTCGTCTATTGTACATGCAAATGTGTTCTAAGTGCTAGTTTCCAGTAAGCGATTATCAGCGCGTCTCTGCACACGTGTAGTCTTCCATTTGTATCGAATTTGCAGCCGTACCAGTGGAATTAGTACGCTTTAGCTTTTGCCTAAAGAATTAATACATTCTGATGAGAGTTTATAAATCTACAAATTATTAATGCCTATTGCATTTGAACAAAACATGAACTCAAAGTTGATATTTTTCTTTGAATTTAAAATTTAAAGACAACATGCTCTATTTTTTGTTGACTTACTAATGTTAATTAAACTAAGAATTGCTTAATACTAACTTAACTACTTTAAAGTGACTTATATTAATGAATTCATTACATACCTAATCGATCGACATCCACTTTTTATAAACTTATGACGCTTTAAAAATAAAAAAACCAATAAAAAACACTAATTAAGGCCACCGTTACCGTTATTTTAACCATGAAAAAAGTGAGGTCATTAACAAACTTAAATTGTTAGCTTCAAATCTAGAGTGAAATTAAATATACGAAGAAAAGTACATAACTAAAAGTTGCTAAAACCTTCATAACTATTCTATTTAAGGTTTAAGATAAACAAAACATTTTTAACAGTCCTTCAATGTAGTTAAATATAATTATTAGTAGGTCCTATGTCTTCTCTCTGTGCGACGTTTCCTCATTCCAAGTGAGAGATTATTACCGTCGAGAGTATGAGTTATTCATTTGTTTTTCAATTTACAACAGAAATTTTACGTACGTTTAAAAGCGACGTAAAAAATCTAAAATGGCGGCTATATTACGAAGTTTTCTAAATTACCTACGATAAAATATTCTTGTCTCGGCCATTAGCATGGGATAGCTATTTGTTATTGTCAAATTGTTAATTCTTTAATCAAATGCTAGTATCAGTAAGGCCATATGTACTTACTAAATCATGCTTGGCAGATGGATGTTTGTTACCAAGTAACTACATAGCTGCTCCATGAATCTTGATACAATTAGGAACATAACTTATTTAAACTCTGTCATAATTTGGAACAGAGTATAATCTATATCGGGCTGTCATGGTCCGAGACATAACGCAGAGCCCAGGACAGAGCGAGCTGGCGGCGTACTGTGTACGCCCTCTGCCCCACTTTGGGGACATAGGAGTAGAAGAGAGAGATAAGCTCTTTATCTCGTAAAAATGTACCGTTCAAGTGATATACAAGCATTTTTCACATGTACATAACTGCAACAAAATATATAGGTACTTTCTGATATTCCACATGGACGCAGTCGAGGGTCGTTACTAATATAATTATTTATAACCCTACTAGCTTTCGCTCGTGACTCCGTCCGCGTGAAATTAAAAAAAAAGTAAGTACCCCATGTGTTCTTCCAAACTATCCTCTACATCTACACCGAATTTCATCGAAATCCATACAGCCGTTTAGGCTACAAACTCTGACAAACACCCATCCATCTAAACTTTTACATTTATAATATTAATATGAAGTATGATTAGGCTTATATACTTTTGAACTTACTGGATGTTTTTTTTTCTATTGGTTTCTGACATTCACTTGGAGAATTCTCTACGCAACCGAACGTCAAGCGAAGCATGCTTTTATTGGAGTATTGTTGTGGTCGTTGTATGTGAATGACCTTGAATCCGTATCTTTAGATTGATCTATTGACAAATAGATCAATCCTAATTTCTTCAGTTTTTCAATTATTATATTAAAATGAAATAATTAAAATACAAAACCGAATAGCGTGTAAGCGTCCTATAAAACGGTGTCAGATATTTCTAAATTAATTATAACTATTTATATTTACTTCGATTATTAATTATATGATATCGGACATAAAATAATCATGCATTCAAGTTTTTCGAGCACACACGCGATGTTTTTTTAGTTTGTGAACTTTAGAAATAATATTTGAATTCTATTAATAAATTGATTGGATAATAAAAAGAAAAATAAAAGTACATTGCTACCAAAACAACATACAGCTGGATAGTGTAAAAATATATGGTTGTTAACGATTCCCACGTTTCAAAAAGTGCGAAACTCGAAACCATGGTATTGTGTTACTTTAGGTAGCTACTGGATTCAATATTGATTGACAGAAGCACCGCTTGCGCTTGCTACCGTTAGATATGTCAATGTCATACGCATATCTGATTCTCGTATTTTAAACATTAATACCAACCTCAGAGACATTAAATTGTTCCTAAGGGAGTTCCCTGGTAGAGATTTAGTACGAGAAATTTGTACTAAGGAATTGAGTAAGTGCGGTGGATAAGTCAAGCAGAAAAAGTCATAATGAAAATAAAAAGTGTTTTGTTTTGTTAAAAAAGTTAGATGGATGGATGTTTGTTAAAGTTTGTAGCTTAAATCAGAACGGATGTCGATGAAATTCGGCATAGATGAAATAGTCTGGGAGAACATATAGTCGACTTCCTTTAGTTTTTTTTTAATTTCATGCGGACGGATTCGTAGACATATCATAAAAGTTATTTTTGCATAAATTATTTAATACAATATACAAGGTTTTAGACTATTTATCATCACGCTACAGCATTTAGGAGCCGATCAGTGAGTAAAATAACGCGAAGTTAAGACAACTGTACCGTAATACACTAATTTTTAAACAAGCCCATGACCTTTTCGTCATTAAATAAAAAATGTCCTTACAAATTGCAGACGCTTGAGCTTCTGTACAGCTGTGTTGTCTTTATATAGAAGTTTTCAAGGAAAGTAAAGCCGGATTAGAAATATACTGTTACAGACTATTATAATAAGATTAAAAGTATTTCAGGCAATTAGCGGGCGCGGTACATTACCTTTATTGTTTATTTTTATACAGAGAACTACCGAAATTAAAATGTTCTATATTTATACACTAAATAAAAAAGTTTGATTACCTTTATCTAATAATAGCAATAACATGAAATAAAGTGAATGTAGCCTGTTGACCTCTAAATATAACAAAATCTTTAAGTATTATATCATTAAGTTAAAAACATTGAACCTTTTTTATAGCAAACAAAAGTTATTAAAAGCGATATTGCTTGTACCCGATCAACATACGAGTGTGCAACGAATCATTAAGATGATTTTATTACAAAAAGGTGCAAATATAAACCGTTTTTATTCACAGAAAACTTCTTTTACTTTAGTAATTGAAAGTATTTAATCTATACTATTATAATAAAGCATAAACACACACTTCTTTGTTGCCTTAGATGTCAGCAATTACAGCATATTTTTGAATATTTTTTTTAATAAAAATCCCTACACTATATTTTCACACCATTAAACTCAGGAGGTATTTTGGTTAAAACCCTAATGTGAGAAAGAGACCATAAGTTGTTGTCAAAATCAAGGAAGCAAGATTGTCGAGGTTTGTTATGTTATGTCATTTGACATTTGCTTTCATAATTTCATGCGGATGAAGCCGCACGGGAACAGCTAGTACTATAAAATGTTTATCCAAAATTGAAAGTAACCAGTCCAGTTTGAGATGGAATTTCTTTTTACACACTTTTATTTTAAAGTTTAACGTGAAACATTCGATATTTGGCCAAAGTTTTGGCGCTAATCGTTGCGTTTCTTTTACTTTCATTGTACGACGTGCATTGGACGAGGCGGATTGTTCATTTAAATTGTGGGCATACAAATTCCACGTATGGGAAACTTAATTAACAAAACAAGATCCAGACATTCACTTTTTAAAGATGGTTGCAATGATAAAGCAAAATTTAAAGACTGGAAGTCCAAACAAGTCGTAATTATTTATAAAAAAAAAACAAAAACTGCAGTTCCTAATCCAGTAACTAAATACTAGTGGTTCAGCATATTTTTTTTGTTTTTATTTTATTTATTTACGGATAACTTACAGCTAGCTTCATCATCCACTTGCCCTTATCCCTTATTGAGGGTCGGCACAGTATGTGCTGCTCTTCCATACATCTCTATCAGCCGTCATATCTGATTCCACTCCTTTCTTAAGCATAATTTACAGCTAGCTTAAAAAATAATAATAAAAGAAACAAAAAAATGAAGGCCAATTACAAGTTATCGCAGATAGTCACAAGTATGTATTATAATGAAATTCAGTCCTTGTAAATTGTATCACACTACACTTATATGAGGATAAAGATCACCTATATACATATATATCTATGAGTTTTCTGTCAACACTTGTTTCAGAACATATCTCAGCTTTCTTAAAAAGATTTAGTCTCCTCTCACTTTAAAGATGACAATATGATGTTTCCACTGGTCTTTATTAATGGATAGGTGATAGGTTTTAAAATAAGGGCTGATACTGACACTAAAACCGCCAAAACAAAGGAAATCGAATAGACACAAAATACCACCTTTTACAGCATGTTCATTTAGAGGTCAGTGGTAGTGTCACATATTGGTAGCGTAAGAAAATATTTTTACATATTGGAGTCTGATTATTTTGTTTGTCACCAGTGAGCGGTATTGCAAAGCCCGGCACGCTGGTCGCTCTTATGGGACCAAGGTAAGTTCCTATACTATAAATAAAACATTTCATGACACTAAAAATTACATACACAACAATCAAAGACAATAAGTACAGTTATCAAAACACAGAAACTTTTTCTATCTATTTATTTTAAAATATAGTCTAATTAAAATATGCAATTAATGTGTGCAGAGTGATTAGTTCGCAAAAGGCAACTTGACGGGTCCGTTTTGACAAGGGCAAACAAGTTACGCCCAGCGGGAATATTTTTATGGTTTAAAATCCGCGTATCCTCCGACCGGTTCACATTTTTTTGTATTAACTTTGACAGATCCCGGTTTTTTGTACCGACTTCTGTTACGTACTAATGAATTCATCGTACTTAAGTATCGGACGTTAACATTACCTAAAAAAAGGCGGCAAACTAACCGTTGAACTTACGATCTTAAAAACAATAAATAATAAAACATACTTTATCTTAGTAATAGAAAGAATTTAATCTTACTAATATTATAAATGCGAAAGTTTAGATGGATGGATGGATGTTAGTTTGTAGCTTAAACGGCTGAACAGATCTCGATGAAATTTGAAATGAAATGAAATGAAATGAAATGAAATGAAATGAAATGAAATGAAATGAAATGAAATGAAATGAAAATGAAATGAAATGAAAATGTATTTATTGCCACAAAATAGAAATTATATAACAAAGACTTATTCTAAAGGTGACATATTCGTGGCAAAAGGTAGCCAGCTCAGCGTATGCAGGACGGACTAAGCCGTTCCTGCGCTGATTTTCAGCTGGCTCCTTCGCACTCAAGTAACATACATCTTAATCACTAGGGTAACCGGCCGTACTAAATACATATCTATACAGAAATAAAAAAAAAATAATAAAATAAAAAACACACTTTTAAATAAAAGAAAAAAAAATCACACCAACAAAAATGGGACATCATAAAGAAAAAAAAATTTTTAAAATCTTAATAGAAACAAACAAAAACAATCATACTAAATTAAAAGGCGAATGAACATACTGCATTTATAAACATATTTACAAATTTTTAACAAAAAAAAAAAAACACAATGTGTTATGGGTTAATTTGGGACTCTAATAATATTTTTTTACATTTTTTAGCAAACACTGGATGTGACGAAATTTGATTTATAGGTGGTGGGAGATCGTTCCAGACTTTAGAAGCCGCGTACTTAAATCCACCTCTAAAGCCGACTGTACTATGTTTTGGAATGCTCAACTTATTTTGCATAGTAGTTCTTGTTACATGAGTCACAGTGTCTTTCTTCCACCTTAATTTGTCAAAAAGATATCTCGGGCGATGGGACTTAATAATCTTATGAACCATATTAGCAAAGTGCAGATCACGACGACCGGACATTTTTAATATGCAGTATTTATTATAATACGGAGTGACATGTTCCCGACGTGGTATATCATAACAAAATCGTAAGCATGCGTTCTGCACACGTTGAATGGCCCGCTGTGTCTTTAAAAATAAGCGGGGACCGAACACCACGTCACAGTATTTGTGATAAACAATTTGTGATAAACGTAGAGGATAGTCTGGAAGAACACATAGGCTTCTTGCTTTTTTTATTCCACGCGCACTTATACGCGGGCGAAATCTAGTATTACATAAGAAGAGAATCGAAGAACACATATTTGAATTTCCTAACAATCAATATGTTATCCAAGTCCGTATGGTGCCCCGCAGGGTTGAGTAAAGCCAAATCAGACCAAGAGATCCGAACACCTCGATGGGAACTTAGAATGATAAATATTTTTGCGAAACAAAAATACTTTTTCGGGTATTAAAGTACCTAAATATTGCCAATGAAACCGTACGATAGTTGCGAAGCATAATACGATACGAGCGCATTCGGATAGTGTATATTCCACCGTCCGTTGATATTCTGTTACAGGCTTACACAAGTGAAACGATTTAGGTATTCGGGTCGGAGGGTGACAAAGCTTTGGCAATCGGCTTTGAGTTAGAAAAATTGGATAAAAGACTTTTTCATTAAAACACGTCTTCCTTATTTTAGACAGTTTATCAATAATTATAATACTAGCTTTCGCCCGCGACTCCGTTCGGGAGGAATTAAAAGAAATAAAAGTGAGTGGCCTATATGTTCTTCCAGACTATCCTCTACGTCTATGCCTTTCATCGAGATGTGTACAGCACTTTAGGCTACAAACTCTAACAAACATCCCTCCATCATCCTAAACTTTCGCATTTATAATATTAGTGAGATTGAGGTAATAATAAATTATATTAAGGTAATAAACTTGTCTGTTAGTGAATCAGTTGTCAGTATCATCTACTTTGCTTCGAATTAAGGGCCTTCAAGTTAATTAATGTAAACATTTATTTAAAAATAGTAATATTAAAAAAATCTTTCATAGGCTGTATTTAAAAAAGTACCGCTTATTTTTTACGATTTTTATTCAAAAAATTGATAAAACGTCGAAGTAACAATTTTAATCACCAAAAAAGGCAATTCTTTTTGTTTTTAAAGGGTTTATTTGACCTTCTGTTTTCTAAATAAAATACTAAATACAATTTTAAAAGGTCAAATGTAAAATGCACTCAAAAAGTTTTGACATTTCGATTAAATTTTGTTTTTCGTCCTTAGAGACATTTAAGAATTATGGGTCTACATGCAGACACTAATTTTGGTATAGGTTATAAATATAAAAACCTTAATGACCCCAAATACTAATAACCTGATTTGTTTAAATTAGCTGTTCTCGTGCGATTTCATCAGCACAAAATTATTTTATTGTTTACATTTGCCAAATTGTCAATTGAAAATGACAAAATGACATATGACAAACCTTGACAATCATGCTTCCTTGATGTTGGCAGTAATTTATGGTCTCTTTCCAACATTAGGGTTTTTGTCCAAAATATTGAACCTCTAAGTTTAATGGCGTGAAAAGATGTAGAACACACACTTCTTTGTTGCCTAAGATGTTAGCAATTACAGCAGATTTTTGAATAATTATACTTTTTAATAAAGGCCCTACACTTACGTCACGCTTTAGGCTATATGTTTTCACGCTATTAAACTTAGGGGGTAAATAAATTGGAAAAAACATCTTAATATCGGGAAGGGACCATAAACCACAAGCTGCCAACATTAAGGAAGCACGGTTATTATGGTAACGGTAATCAAGACATTTGCAATTGAGAATTTGACAACTGTAAACAATAAAATTAAAATGTTCATAATTTTATGCGGATGAAGTCGCACGGGCACAGCTAGTTTACTAAATTTTTATCATTAAACAATAAATTAATTAATAATTACACAATAAACAGAACACCACTTCTAATGAATGACTTCTAACAGCTTGGAATTAAAACATAATAATTAAGATAAAAAAGTGACATTTGAACTTCCTTCGACATTATATCATAAAAAGAATAAATGTACTCTTATGTATGATGGAAATTTATTGAAAAACATGTTTAAAAACTTCTTATTAACTTGTAATAAGCATAAAATATCGGAAATATTTATAACAAGGCCACTGTCACTAAGTACACGAGATAGAATTATGAAAAAGTTTTCATACCTTATAAAGGCCAAAAAACGAAGAATAAGGCTTGCGATGGCTTGTGCTAGAGGCGTATATCCTCCCTCTTGTCATACCAATATATACTAATATAAAAAAAACGTAAACACACACTACTTTGTGGCGTAGGATGTCAGCTATCACAGCATGCTTTTGCATTATTCTTTCTTTAATAAAAAGCTACACTTACGACACGCTTTAGGCTGTATATTTTCACGCTATTAAACTTGAGGGATAAATAAATTGGAAAAACACCTTCATATTGGAAAGGGACCATAAACTACAAGCTGCCAACATTAAGGAAGCACGGTTATTATGGTAACGGTAATCTTGACATTTGACAACTGTAAACTATAAAATAAAGTTTTTATAATTTCATGCAGATGAATCCGCACGAGAGCAGATGGTTACAATATAAAATGAAACTCGTAAAATCAACACTCGAGAGTTTCAAACTAGTACGAAACACTCCAACACACCTATACCACATTGACCACAAAGTTACGGCATAACGAAAGCCCTAATGGAGGTGATTTTGATTATTTTGATGAATTGAAGTTCTTTTACAGCGGTGCTGGGAAGACGACACTGATGTCAGCGTTAGCGTACAGAAACCCAAGTGAGTCGTTTATCTTGTAATAACTATCTAACTGTTTATAATGGATGCCTAAACCAATCAAATTGTGCTGTAAGCTCCGCTAAGATGTTCTGAGACTGCCAGGATTTTGTCCAAAAATGAACTAAAAATAAAGCATATTGTTTTTTTTTGTAGATACTTACTACTCTCTACGGTTTATGATAGTGAACTTCTTGGTTTTTACTTTATTTTCTTCAGCATAAACCTAATAACATAATATAAGATAATATAAGAAACAAAAAAAAAAACGTAATTTAATTCTTGTTTTAAAATTAATAATCATAAATATTCAAAATAACTCGTTTAAAATAACGATTTTAATTAATAATGTACCAAAATTCCATAAAATTGAAGGACACACAAAGGGCACGCTAGTGAATTTAAAATTTAAATTATAAATTCTTTATTATTTGTTTGTTCGCACGTGCGTATATCCGAATAGTGATTGACAGCAACAAATAATATTTAGTTTTTCCGAACTACTTATTCTGAATATGTTATTTCTAACACATTATTTAATTACTTTGTCTGAAGAAAGACTAATCTACATGATATTTCTGTATGTCAGATGTTTTTAATATAATTTTTTTACGGATGGTTGTCTGGTAGTAACTTGTTCTAAAATGTTCTATATGTCAGTGACCTATGAAAAAGACGTGAAAGAATGACAGTGATCACTTATGCAATTAACATTTCTGGGGATCGATTAATTTAATTAGTACGTAATCGATTTCCTAGTAATTTTATTACTTATTTACTCAGACAATTAAGTCACAAAGTTAATTTATGCAATCTTTCACGCTATAGCTTACAATGCTAAGGAAAACAAACAGATTATAAACAAATGCTAGCACACATATGTAGTTTTCAGTCATCAACATTGTAACTAGCTGTAACTACGTAAAGATAAAATCAAGTAGGTAGATCGTTTACTAGCATATTTTAACAATACGTTTACAGTACACATTGCAATACAATATGCATTTATATGTGTAAAGTGTTGAACGGAAATGGATGTAACTTTTCAACTACAGTTCTATTCGTTTTTTTTTCTCTTAAAAGTTACTTCACGCATATAAATATGTAGGCAATTACGTAAAGATAAAATAGAAGGACAACTTGTATTGACTAAAAAATGTGGCACTATAAATTCAATGCTATGTTCTCGAGTTTCGGTTCATTTTGGACAACCATTTCAGTTAATATCGTGTCCGCTCGTGCTCGTTTATTTACAATTCTAATTATAATAAAACTTATATTATAGCGCTATTCAACATTTTATGCTAATGTTTTTTGTGCGGCTTTAAAGAAGCCACGAATAAGCCTATAGCATATATTAATGAAGTAATACGGTTAAAAGTTATGAAATTACAATAGTCTTATCTTATGACATCTCCTTGGTTCAAGAATTTTAGATATATTGGTTCTTTAACTTTGGAACTAAACTATTACTCTTTGTGCTAGAGGTAGTTTACGAATTAAAAATTCTGTTTTAATCGATCGATACACGAATTAAAATAGAAGGAATTAAACAATTTGAAATGCAGAGTGAATAGTCCGTTTATTTTGAAATCATTTTGAAGTTTTGTGTTACAATCTATTTGGCCACCTACATGTATAAAAAACCTATGCTGGCTTATTAGTAATATTTATTCAGTTGTTTTTATACAAGATTTCAAAAACATTTAGATAAGCTATTATGCATATGTACGAGTGGCAAAACCAATATTTTGGCATACATTTCGTTTTACAATTTTTTTAAATCGTCTTATACAAAATGCTCTTCTTGCAAACCGTATCTAAATAGATTTTTACATCCAAATACCTACTCAGTAAACAAACCTTTTGTGAAGTTTCACGTGTTTTTTTTTAATTAATTAAAATGTGATGCTTTGATTATTCTTAATATTTAACTAATATTTATATTGCATAACAAATTCTGCGGCTATCGTTTTTTTTTCTGTGTTTATCGTATTTAATTAGGCATTGTTCTTGTTTGCAGTTGGGACGTTGATAGACGGTGACATCGCAATGAATGGGTTACCGGTGGGCGACTTTATGCACAGAGAGAGCGGCTACATGCACCAGGACGAACTCTTCGTGGACAATCTCACTGTTATCGAACACCTTTCCATAATGGTACTCTTTCGTTAGAAGATTTATTTACTAGAACCACATTGTGAAACGGTATCCTTAGCGGTATTTCCGTCTACCGCTTAGACTCATTCAAGTAGCAAAAGTATATCTTATTAATTCTTCTTCTATTGTATTTTTTCAACGGACGGCAACGCATCTGCAGTTAATCCGGTGCGGATGTCAATAAGCAGAGATCACTTTGTTTTACAGACGAAAAATTGCCTTGTTATGATCTATGACAACCCTGAAAGCCATGGCATTACATAATTACAAATCTTTACGTGCTCTTTGGTGGTAGTGTGTCAATACCGTTTTTTTAAAATATTACTAAAGGCTTAGATACTAGATTCATATCATACCAGTAAAATGTTTGGTGTGGACTTTCATTATCGAAGTATTTCCCTAAATGTTAGAAGTGTGAGAATGTGAAGACAGAAAATTGTTTTTTACTGAACGCTCAGTAGAAACATACTATTAGATAATTAAGAGTTTGATAGGTTTATTGGAAATAAATCAATATTTTATGTAAATGTATTTATTTTTTGTGAGATATTTCTTAAAGTTTGTTAACAGGTTTTTTATGACACTTAAAATTATTTATGACATAAGTTATAGCACGTGCCTTATGGGTTCCTAAATTAATAAACAGCCGCCGACTTTATTCATAGATAAAATGTCTATTTAAATAAATCGCGTTAGCGGCCATATTTAAATCTATAAGATTGTAACATTTAAAAGATCTTTTAAATGATACGGGTGATACAGGATGTTAAACTGGTAGATAAATAAGATTTGAAAGGCATTAATTACCCTCGTATTTGATTTTTTCTATATCCGAAACATCAATACGTAATTTTATCTCTGTTCCCATAGACCAAAAGTTCCCTAACTTTTTTGTCGCTGCCCCTAATGTCGTTTTACTGATTTTCATGCACCTTCATTAATAAAATGTATAAGACATTTTGTTAATTTTTAAATTTAGTACATTTCGGTATATCCTCGTACGCGAGTCTTCGGTCTTCGAAATCAGATGAACATTTTCATGGACATTTACAACTCGTGGAAACCAAATTTATTTTCGGCGGTCTTGGACCACTGTCGGGTAGTTCTAGAACTACGGGTGGTCTAGACCACCCATAGACCACACATAAAAATTCTATTTTGTATTAAGTGATTTGGTAGTGGAAATTTTGTAATTAATCCGTAAACAAGTTTTCCTACAAATATATTCTTATATGACCCACTTAAATTTTAGTTATATGAATACCCACTGTAATTTACATAGATAAAACGTTGCATTGTAAATTTTATGTCAATACAATTTCAAAAATAAAAACAAAACACTCAAATATTAATTGTCAAACTCAAAAATGTTACAGAATTCAAAATTATAATTAATGCAAATCAAGCTATTTAATTTAAAATAATTCGAAAATCGATGAGAAGTAAAATACAAAATTGATGACACCGAGTTAGTGCGGTATTATTATTTACAAAAAACCATTAACTTTTATTATTGTATCCAAAAACGTTGTCTACCTGAGATATCTTGGCACGTGTCAACGAGTTCTTTAAAATCCCAAGGTCGGAATTAGAGATCATTAAGTCGATATTTGATACAAAAAATCGTTTAACATACTATGAATTTTCATGCTCACTGGTATACGCCTTTTAAAATACATATATTAAACATAAAATAAATGGAAAAGATTGGGGAAAAATATAAATTACAGGTCTATTTCTACAGGAGACCAACTTATAGGAAAACGAGCTGTCGCCCGCAAACTTCGTTAGCGCAAATTTGGACCATTTTGACAGCCCGGAATTTAAAAAACAGTAGCCTATAATATGCCTATCCATGTCAGCGACTCTCCAGTGAAAGTCCCGTCGAAATCGGCGTAGCCGTTTCGGAGATTGCCCCGAACAAACGCGGCTTACAGACACACAGACAAATAATGTTTAAATGCGATTTTCGTTACCACACAAATACATCATTTCGAAATCTGGAATTTTTCTTTTCATATTACAAACAGACACTCCAATTTTATTATATGTAGGTATAGATACGTTAATAGGATACATTTATTAAACCCCTAAAATAAATTTAAGTATGTTTTTGAATCAAAACAATGTACATTTGTTCAGGCCCGTCTCCGTATGGATCGGCGGACATCATCTTTAGCACGCAGAAGACGAGTTAATCAACTTTTAAGACAATTGGGACTTTATGGCTCAAGATATACTCGCATTGGAGGCTTGGAGGGACGAAATACTTTATCAGGAGGGGAAAGAAAAAGACTGGCATTCGCTACAGAGGTGAGAAAAAATCACTATCTTGTATATCAAAATATAAACTACTAAATTTTGTTAAAATTAAAAAATACAGCCCATGTTACTTAGCGATAACGTAGCTTTTTAATAGTGAAAGAATTTTTGAAATCGGCCCAACAGTTTTTGTGTTACAAATCTTTCCTCTTCATAATTTGAGTATAGATGTGTCTAATCGAACTTTTATGAATAATTTTACACTATGTAACCACGTTCATTCAATATTTCAACCCTTTTGCAGTTATTAACCGACCCCGGATTATTATTTTGTGATGAACCGACCACTGGCTTGGACTCATCATCGGCACAGAAGTTAATGTCCTTACTGCGAGCGAGTGCGGTTCAAGGCAAGACAGTTATCTGCACTATACATCAGCCATCATCAGAGTTAATGGCGCTATTTGACAAGCTGGTACTCCTCGCTGAAGGGAGGATTGCATTCGCTGGAAACGCTTCTGGAGCACTCAGCTTTTTTGAAAGGTAAACATTAAAGTAACAAACGCTTACAAAGAAATGTTTATTCTATTACCAAGAACAGGGATATTTGTTTATGATAAACGAACTTGCAGTGGGATTCCACTGTTGTTTACCGATCTTACTTTGGAAAACACGCTGCTAACTACTATTATATAATACTGCAACGAAAAACTACGTTAATTATCTATTAATTACCATTAAAAGAAGCAAAATCAATTGTAATTTTTAATAAAGAGAACGAATCAAATACAAATTATTTCATTACGCAAAATACTGTAATTCTTTTCGTGGTAATGTATGTTCAAATACAAGTTGTTTTAAATGCATGTATCGGTAGTGAAAACCGATTCGAAACATAAAAGCGTCTAGACTACGTTTGTTATTGATCTTTGATCGAGTAAAACCGTTAAGAAATAGGTTAAACGGTGACCGTAATAGGACTTTCCGGCTGATCGGCATATCACAACTCCAAACGTATTTCAAGACCTATTGCAGTTACCTTAAAATCATGACAGTGTTATTCATGTCGCTGTAAGATTATAAACATAGTACATTTTTTAATTCACTATCGATACGACAAAATAATGGAAAGATTCGAGAGTTACTTAGGAATTTACAATTAATTTTCTAATTTTTTTTTTAATTCGGATATACAAAAGAATTGTCTCCTTGTTGTTCTTGTATCTCGTATCTATAGTTGCTAGGAAGGATATAGTTAATGAAATTTTATTTTTATGTAAAATTTATTTTATAATCTCAAGGTTTCAGTTATATGTATTTAATTCGCAATCTGTTTCAATATTATATTTATTTCCAGGAGTTTTTCTTGTTGTTTTTGTTTATTATAAAACAAAAAATAATACTTTTATAAATCCATAATTCACCTTGATATCAATTTGTTTATCAACATAAATGTCAACAACTTCGGTATACGATGTATTTAATTTGTATATTTTTGGAGTATTAAATATATTTCCAATTATCCAAAATAATATCAAATGTCATAGTGTAAGCAAAAAAGCACGAAACGGAACCATTCCACTATAATATTTTCCACAGAATTTAAGGCACAGACCATCCCACCAAAGATTCACCACAATCTGTCTAGTGATTTATGAATGTATAGATAACGTACAAAGATCGTTTTTTTTAATTAGTATTTTAAACAATTATATAATTGTTATAACGTTAACCTAATTCTATCGATTCCCGCCAAATGGCGCGCTTATCCTTCATACATGTGATTGACATTGACAGATGTCATAGTGATGGGACATGTACGGCAATGATTAGTGTTGCGTTTATTATTTATCTTCTCTATAAGTAACAATATTTATAGAAGATAAATAACAAAAAACAGTCATTCATCATCCGTACGATCTAGTAGTTTTTAAACACTATTGGCTGTGACAATTTTTGAGTAAAATTATGTAAAACTCACCGTTATATATAATAATGCTTTCAAAGATATTTAATAACAGCAAATCTCGATAAATAATGTTACATCATGCATTTACATGTCGTTAAGCGAACAATTTACGATTCATTTTAAATATTTGTTTCATACATTATATTCATTTACATTTCTTATCTATTACATTGTACAGTAAGGGATTTATCTGCGAACAATATTAATAATACTTAAATAGCAAGGTATTAGATTGATATGTAATATAATATTTGCAATGTCATGTAACCTGCAATACAAGAATCAATGCAAATACAAGCATATCACATAATGAGAGAATATTGCAGTATGTTAAATGAATATTCTGTCAACCATAACCGTCTGTTTTTATTGTCAAACACTCTTATAAAACAGGATATAACAGTATTATTTAAAAAACTAGAATATTACTGGCAATCAACATTTCAGGATAAATGCAAATGATAAAAATTACTCAATGTAGGTAATCCTCTTTCTTACCTGAAATCTAACTAGTCTAAACTAGTTCTAAATAGTTATAAACGCGAAAGTGTAGATGGATGGATAGATGATTACTACTTCTCTCCTGACCGACTCAAGGGATCTAGCTGAAATTTGGCACAGATTTATAAGCCATTATGGAAAATATTATCTGATCGAGTTTTTTAATTGTGCGCGGACGGAATCATGAACATCTAGTGAAAGGATAATCCAAAATTTCACATTTTTTGTTTAGTTGTAATTGTTTTTTTTTCCAGTCTCGGCTACCATTGTCCATTGACGTACAACCCTACAGACTTCTTCATTAAAGTATTAGCTTTGACTCCGGGCTCCGAGGGTGCGTCACGACACGCCATCAAGAGTGTATGCGATAGATTCGCAGTCAGTGATGCTGCTAAGGAGTTAGATATGGAAATACACCTTGAATTCCATCTCATGGACCATGAGGATGAGGTAAGAGTTACATAGGATATCATTAATAATTCGTATTAAAAAAAATCTTTCCGGGACATGTTATCTAAGAATATTGCCAAAAGCATTTGTACAATTTGTATTAAGAATTACCAATTTATTGGGTAACTCTACTACTATGTTTTCTGTATTGGCGTAAATGACATCAAATAATCTAATTAAAAACGTTTGTCTCAATGTGTAGTTTTCTGTACAGGAATCAAGACGAGCAAAGGAAGACAGTTTTAAACCACCTTTCTTCTTTACGAAGACGATTTGGCTGGTGTACCGGTATCTACTAGTTATATTAAGAGATCCTAGAGTACAATTACTACGAATATTACAAAAATTAGTAAGTTACTTGATCATATGAATTTTTAACAGATACCAGAATGGATCAATATTTGGTACCCCATTAACAAACATTTGAAAACAAAAAGAACCCTTCCAAGATTTTCCAACAATGTTCAATGATTTAAAATCTTTTCTGAAACAGATATTATATACTAATAATATAAAGAGGAAAGATTTGTATTTTTGTATGTATTGGAATAACTCAAAAACTATTGGGCCTATTTAAAAAACTATTTTAGTTATTGCTGAGTAACATAGGTTATATTTTTTAATATCACTTGGACGAAGTCGCTAGCAACAGCTAGTAAATCATAAAATAAGAGAGATCTTCATGTCTTGAGAGTTACAATCATGTTTAATTTCAGGCTATAGCATTAACAGCGGGGCTGTGTTTCATCGGCACCGCGCATTTGACGCAGGCGGGCATCCAGGACGTGCAGGGAGCTCTCTTCATCATCATCGCTGAGAATACCTTTAGTCCAATGTACTCAGTATTGCATATGTTCCCTGAAGAGTTTCCAATGCTGACAAGGGAGCTTAAAGCCGGCTTGTATTCCACGCCGATATACTATTTGGCGAGGATGATTGCCTTGGTAAGATACAAATTCATGTCTCAGGTCTTTTTATTTTTATGAACCGTAGTCGTGATTATTTATGACAGAAATACTAATTGGTTCCACCAAGCAGTGATGCCTGATTATAAAAATTAGCAATGTTTCAAACTAAATTAATTTCTTGTTTTTATATGTTTGATTAATATTTTAGAGATTTTAATAATCATTGAACTTTACAGTTCCCTGGTCTGGTGATAGAACCGACCTTGTTCACCCTGGTGGTGTATTATATAGCGGGTCTCCGAGCTACCGCCTTTGCCTTCAGCTTTACAGTCTTTATATCGATTATTGTTCTCAACGTCGCCATTGCGTGCGGTAAGTACCTAACTTCTATTACAATTTAAACTTATCTATACTAATATAAAAAGGAAAGATTTGGATTTTTGTACGTATTAAAATAACTCAAAAATTTCTGGGCCTATTTCAAAAATTCTTTCGTCATTAAAAAGCTACGCTATCACTGAGTACTATAGGGTATATTTTTCAATCTGACATGGACAAAATCGCTAGCAACAGCTAGTATTTTATAATCCCGAAGCAATTATTGTGACCGTCAATTGTTTTTTTTTTGTATTTCACCGAATAGATTTTTTAATATAATATTGTGTGCCTCGTTTCACAGGTTCATTCTTCTCGTGCGCGTTCGGCTCAATGCCGATCGCTATCGCCTACCTTGTACCTTTTGACTACACCTTGATGTTAACGTCAGGACTGTTTGTCAAATTAAGGTAATTTTTATATAGTCATTTAGCAATTCCTTTAATAAATGATTTTGTGTTATGTATGTATTAAAGCATGAAACAATGAGAACGTTTGTTATAAGTGCGAAATGATACACCAGTAGAGGTAGATCTAGAAAGAGATGGATGGATTGCGTGAAAGGTGACATGATCAAAAAGGGTGTGAGGACTGAGATAACGTATGATAAAGTTATGTGGAGGACAAAAACCTGTTGCGCTGACCTACGGGAGTAGGATAAAGAGTTGATGATAATTATGTATGCAGTTAAGCATCTAAACCTTGTCTTTTTCAGTTCAATACCAAAATACGTATCATGGATTCGACATTTATCGTGGGTGATGTATTCAAACGAAGCCATGAGCATCTTACAATGGGACGGGATACAAAATATAAGTAAGCTATCACGAATGTTACTTTAGTAGATTTTCATTGATTCTGGTTTGACTAATTTTCGGGGTAGGCCCGGCCTTAAGTATTTTTGATACTAGCACCATATTGTGTAACATTGCTAATTCTAAGAATGGAATTCCGTCTTGTAAAAACCTTTTTGTCGCATATTCTTTACAAATACGCGACATAACAAGCTTATCAGTGTAACGCACAAAATATAATTTGTAAATTGTAAAACGACTTTAAAGAGATTTAAAGATTCAATTAGATACTTTTGGTTGCATTACTGTTTCCTATACTAGGTCAAACAAAAATATTTTCTCACCTTTAAACAATAACTTCCAGCTTGCATCGCGCCCGGAAACATGACGGACGGCCCCTGTCTGAGCACGGGGGACGAGGTTCTCGAGCAATACGACTTCCGCACCAATCAATTCTGGACTGACGTCATCGCCCTCCTCATCCTCTGCCTCGTGTTCCATCTTCTTGCATTAATAGCACTACGGTTTCGTACAAGGAGAAAATAAACCAATCTTTAGATAATTATCTACCGATCATAGGAAAAGAGCTACTTTTATGTAACTGCATAAAACATGCTTCTCTTTTATGGAAACTTTTTAAAATAAAAGTGTTTTATTTTTATGGGTATTAAAATATTTTAATGTTATGTAACGCGTGTCGAATTATGTCAGAGTTGTTTTTTTATTTTATTGCATGTCGTTAAAACTAAATTATGAATAAAAATTGATTAATTAAAATACTAATGAAACCTTCTTGTTTTATTTTTAAAACCAAAATTATGATTGCTAAAATTAAATAAGCAGAACTTCTCATTACGTTAATAAACCACTTCATCGTTTTATAATGCACACTTGGAACAAAATTATCGCACAACTGTTTAGTCTTGCTTTGATTCTTATGAGCTTATATGGAGGTGCGCACACTACTCGATTTTAGTTGTGCAAATAAACAATTGATTGAATTGGCTGCGAAACAATCGACAATTTAGTAAAAGGTATGAACCCACCTATATAGTAAACAAAAATAAAACCTCTGCATTTGAAAATCTGAATACCAAAGAGCTCCAACGGTTTCTTCTCACTATCACTACTCACTACAATACACACACGCAACACATTTCTTAGTAAATATGGCAACCACAACCGGCAACCGGAACTGGATTTTAATATTTCAGAATCTTTCGAATTAATGAGATAATCAATGCAACCTAAATAACGACTTATATTCTTTTATTTTTAATTACGTTAACACGTTCTTATTACATTTTATACAAGAAAATGTGTATATCTGCATATTAAAAATTGTTAAACTTTAGCTACCGTAGCGACATCTATGTTACATAAAATAGTTAAATACGACTTATTTAAACGTCAGTTGATAAACCGAGGGTTCAAGTAGTTCATTGGTTTAAGCACAGATGGCGCTACTTCTGTTTACATCGTTACCTGGGCGACCGGCTTGTGCTTGTGGCGCAAGCGTAGTTCAAATTCATCCGCCATATTCGTCGTGTCAGACGGAGTGCAGTGTACGGCTGTGTCATGTTTTAACGTAAACTGCACATAACTTATGACAACGAATCATTTTTGGTGCTTGTTTCGTGTAAAGAACGTTGAAAATATGCGATCCGATGGAGTTTCGAATGGACACTCGTGTCGCTTGTTGAATAATAAACGTGCAACGAACTGTGCATTTGTGTGTTTATGATAACAGCATTAACAGTAATCCTTGGTCGCGTATTGTTTTTATCCCATGCCGTCACTGGTGTATTATGTACCTTAGTGGTATTATGCAAGATAATATAACCGTGACCTTCGTATTCGTGACCGTGCTTATGATGCTTTTTGAGGTTAAAATGCAGCTAGGATTCTGAGTGACTGCGCCGAGCCATAAGGTTAGTAAGATTTTCTTTTATCTGTGTTGATAACTTAAGTTTATCTTGCCCTACATTTGTCCACTAAATGGTAAGATAACTTATTGTATTTCTTTACCAAATTACATAGTAAAAGTTGTACAAAATTTTATTTTATGTAATACGAAGCATGCTGTTTGTACTATGTAATGTACGTTGACGCCTGTTAATTACTTCTAAGTTAAAAAGCGTATTCAAATATTGAATTTGAAAGTATGGCGGTTGGTCTGTCCGGCTGACCGACGTTAACGTGGTGCGGGCAAGCGCGGCGAGAATGCAACCTCACCGCGGGAAGTAAAAAGGGAATAAAACAAGCTTGTAAAGGACGCGCCATTGCTTATCCAAATAATTTCGGTACTCCGTAAACCAGAGTTCAGAGGACCGTTCATTAACTGGAATAAAGTCGAGCCATCGAAGAAAACAAGTTCGCGCCAAAATTTCTACGTTATGTTTCCTTTTGTAGGTTCCACATACTTATTATGATTTAATATTTACCTTTACTTGATAAACCTTTAAACCTGAGAAGTAAGAGGGAAAACATTTAGGGTTATTTAAACCTTTAAAAATATTTTTTTATGTTAATGACTTGGTTACCTCATAGAGTATTTGATGTAATTATACTAATATTATAAATGCGAAAGTTTACATGGATGGATGTTTGCAACCAAAACGGTTAAACGGATTTTGGTCAAATTTGGTTTAGATGTAGAGGATAGTCTGGAAGAACACTTAGGCTACTGGCTTTTTAATTCTACGCGGACGGAGTCGCGGCTGAAAGCTAGTCTAAACGTAATTATTTTAATATCGCCAGGTTCGGACTTTTACGCATATGTACTGTTTAGCGTTCTATGGTAGAGCCAACAAACCTTAATTTGCCGGATGATTCGTTCGAAAAACAGAAGACACATGAACTAGAAGATGGTCACAACTAATTGGATACTGCACTGCTTAACGGATTTTTTTAAAGAAAATGGTATTGTTCCTATTTCAAAAAATGAACTGACAACCTATAACTAATCCAATTTCATTCGATTTTTAAATAAGTTTTTTTTTAATTCATAAAATAAATGTCCTAATTCATGTTTATGCTCACAATAAACAGCAAAAAAACTTTGTTATGATATAAACTTACGAAATAGAGTTTGTTGTACGCACGATTGAACTTCCATAGAGATTGTAGTTTTTGTCCCTCGAGCCGGACAATCGATGATATCGAGTTGTTTATCGAATAATTTATTCGTTTTTATGTAAATCGATATTTAGATATTTTATAGAGCATTGTTGTGTAAGTCTGTTTTGATTACTATTGTGAAATGCGATCCCGATAAATATGAGGTAATACGTCTCGTGTTAGCTGTTTGTATTTAATGTAAAGGGAAATTAAAATAATAGTTATGCCTTCAATAGCACTTATGATATTAATATATATCCCATTATGTTTAGTTGACTTATCATACTAATATTATAAATGCAAAATTTTAGATGGATATTTGTTAGAGTTTGTAGCGTAAATTGATGAACGGATTTCGATGAAATTTAGTATAGATGTAGAGGATAGTCTGGAAGAACACATAAGCTACTAACATTTGTTTTTTTATTCCACGCGGATGGAGTCGCGGACGTAAGCTAGTGAATGTATAATTTCGTTCATTTGTTATTCGTATCAGTTGTTTAATTAAAACGTTGGGTTTAGTGTAAATATTGGTCCTTGTTCCAGTTGTTCGTTGTATTTGTGCGCGTCTCGGGTTGCCGCATGTTTGCCTTTCGATGTACTACGATTTTTATGATTACACGACAACTTGCAATGATGACTTATAATGAATGATACAAAATTATTGTGTAACTAGCTTTCGCCCGCGACTCCGTTTGGGTAGAATTAAAAAGAAGAAAACTAAGTAGCCTGTGTGCTCTTCCAGACTATGTTTTACAACTATGCGAAATTTCATCGAGATCCGTTCAGCCGTTTAGGCTACAAACTCTAACAAACATCCATTTATCCAAACTTTCGCATTTATATATTACTACTATTATACTAATATTATAAATGCGATAGTTTAGATGGATGGATGTTTGTTAGAGTTTGTAGCCAAAGAGTTTGAACGGATTTTGATGAAATTTGGTATAGATGTAGAGGATAGTCTGGAAGAACACATAGGCTACTTACTTTTGGTTTTTTTTATTCCACTAGGACGGAGTCGCGGGCGACAGCTAGTAATATCATATAGTAAGATTTAACAGATAGATGAATTTATTACAGAGTGTGTATACTTCTGGTTAAAACAGTAGAATCAGTTCTTATTAAGTTATTTGGATATCGAAATAGCAGAACAGTTCTGCTGTGTTATTTATTTATGTAACATCTGGAAATGTCACGTTGACAAAATTAGGATGATTTTTTTATGATTAAAAAAAATTCGTGGAAATACTGAAATGTTTCTGAGTATTAGCTATGTTACCTGATGGGATTATAACACCCGTTAGAGCTCACACACCTTTGACTAAACTATCCCACAACTGTATAGTCGCGCTTTGATTCCTTTAAGCTTATATGGAGGTGCGCACACTACTTGTTTTTAGTTGTGCAACTAAACGGTTGAATGAATGAAATAATCGACAGTCGCACAATAGTTGTGCTGTATTTTAGGCGAAGGTGTGCGCTTATTTATATAATTACGTCCACAACTACGAACTTGTATTCAATTGACGTTTTTAAAAGTAGAATAAAAAGTATAAATCCATTAAAGTCAATAAAATTAAAATAACTAAAATGAAGTTCATGTAAACAAAAATCTAATATTGGAAATGTTTGAATGGAGTTAAAAATACATTTGTGCATCAAAAGTCAGTAAATTTGTTTATTTTATGTCTTGGATTCGTGATCAAAGTTTATTAACCTTTTATTTGATTGTAGAGTGGAGTTCTCGATGTTTGTGATGTCTGTTATTTTTATCACGATATGCAGATATCGTAAACTGGCAACAATACTGAACAAGGAAGTCAGTTATCGATTATCAATATCGATATTGCGGGAATATGAAGCAATAAGTAACGTTTTCTCGAAAGAATGATTTTCTACTTAAAAAAAAATATATCAATCTTTTCAGACTTACGATTATCAGTATGAAAACTAAGATTTTTTACTCAAGATTTTATATCAATGTTACCTAGAAGTCACTACCACTTAAAGGAATTGGCGGATTTGTGTTCATTCCAAAACAATAGCACGTTATGACGTCATAAATCCAGGGATTCAAAGGTACTTTAGTATTTATAGTACTAGTAGATTTTGTTTTAAGCTGATTTACACTAAAATATAATCCAAATATTTCTAGAATATCCGTTGGGCGAGTGTTTTGTACAATGTTTGATAAGGTTGCATTAACTAAAGCGGGGTTTTATCAGGTAAATATATCCCACTTCAGATTGCAGTGGGCGTACTGGTGACGTCATCGACAAAGCGCGGTTGCCGTTTGCGGAATAAACAAGAGTATTCTTGGCCACTGTTCCATGTATATTCAACTATTGTATTTCAATTGATTCATTAATATATCTTTTCAACTCTATCTCTATTATAAATAAGAATGTTTGGAATAATGATTGTTACCGTATAACTCAAAAACAAGTGAGGATCAGATTGAATTTGATGAAGTGAAAGTCTGGAATAGTACAAAGACTGCTTTTTAATTAAACCCGACGCCCAATTCGTGGCTATAGCTAGTACAGTAGAACCTCGATAACTCAAACCTCGGTTTCTTCCCTTCCTTTCCTCTTAAGAAAAGGATGGAAAGAAAAAGGGACTAAAATTAGGCCTCCGGCACCACACTCATTAGACGAAACGC